CCTAAAAATCAGCTTTGTCTTCAGACAGCTCCTTGGGCTCCAGCTTCGTGAATTCCCATGAGAGCACATACTGGGCTGCATCCAGTGAAAGCGATCCCTGTACGTGCCAAGGGGATGGAGGAAGGAGGCGGGTGATGCCTTGGTCCCTGATGGCATCCCTAAGGCGCTGTTAGCTTGTATGGGAACACCCTTGTGCTCATGGTGAACAGCACTGTGGGAGTCACACTGCATCCACCAACATGCTCATCTGTGTCCCACTGTGGCAGCCTTTTGAGCTGAGAGCCCAGCAGTGCTGAAGAATTAAAGCCCTGTTTGAAGGGTTGGGCTGCTGAAGGAGCCATTAGTGCAGCAGATGGTCATGAACAAAAGAACTGTGATAACTCGATGTACTTTTCACTGCTCAGGCTCTGAATTTGTACTTGTGTCTCCCTGGGGAAATGAGATGTTGATTTTCAGCCCTTGGACTCTATTTCCCCATGTCAGTGCTGTCAGCAGGGGGCTGCTGATGCGACAGAACGCGTTGGACACTTTTCCAGTTAAGAAGAACATTCCTTTGGTCTGTATTTGGCTCATTTAAGAGTTCTTACGTGCACGTTTTTACCTTAAAACCTGGTGGATGGAGGTGTGGGGTGTTGGCTCTCCTGCTTGGTTTTCATCCCAGGATGTGTGGGAAAGCCCTGGGGCTGCGCGTCTGCTGCTCCACCGTGTTCCAGGACAGGGAGGACAAGGTGCTGTGTCTCTGCCGTGTAGCACAGCCTCACACGGATGGGATTTTGGGAGTGTTGTTAGTTGGAGTTCACTGATGCTCCCTGGCTCTGTGCGCGGGTGAGGGAGGCACTCTTGCAGCAGCTCACCCTGATCCCAAGCCCACTTCTTGCTCATGTGTTCTTGTAGGGGGAATTAATTTGAGCAGCCCTGGCCCATCCTGCCTGCTTTGGCAATCTCCTCCATCCCGTGAGGATGTGAGATGTGTGAGTGGGCAGGAGTTGGAGATAACACCTCCTAATCCCTCCCGGTGCTCCAGCAGAAACCGCTGCTGCTGCCTGGTAATTAGAAAGTGAACAGACTTTGTCTGAAGAGGTGACGTTGGCATCCCTGAATCTCTGTCCTGGGCTTGGGGGAACATCACTCATGATCTGGTTTAGAAAGGCAGAGACCAGAAGATGGTAACGTAGGGCAGACATCGTGGTGTTGTGATAGAGATCCTGAGGGTTGTCCCAAGCAAGCGGCTCTATTTGCTTGGTATGCACCAGTGATGCGCAGGCACCAGCTGGGGTTATGGGAGCTTTGTGGCTCCACCAGTGTTGTTGTGAAGAGGCAGTTAGTGTGGTCAAGGGATCAGAAAGGCCAAAATGCCTTTTGCAGTGACAATTAGGTGCAGATGGAGTGGAGCCACCAACTCGCCATCTCCTGAGGGTGGGAAGTGGATGAGGAAAATTGCCCTCCATAGAGGCTGAGCGCGTGCATGGCGTGGACACCATTCTCCATCCCACCGATTCCCACTTCCTCCCTGGGAGCATTGCAAGTGGGTCAGTAATGCAAGAAAATGACAAGGCAATGGTCTGTTGCAGGTTCTAGCATGTCCTGGGATTGGGGTTGGTGTTCTCACCATCTCTTGTGGACCCAGTTGTTGCTGTGCCTGGAGGCAGGGATGTTGAATTTACCCAGGGGCTTATTTGCTCTTGAAGGCATCGGCAGGCAGTTGGCTTGTCCTTTTCCTTTCCCCTCCTTCCCCCATGTTTTTAAAGACACTGCCGAATAGCACATAGCAGGCTTGCTCTGTTAATGTTATCTGTGTTGGGAATAAAAGCTTGCAGAGGAAACCCACCCCCAAAGCTTGGCCTTGCTCTTTGGTAGACTCCTCAGTGATAATTGTTTTCTTCAGTGCCAGCATCTCCTCTTGCTGTGGGAAGGTTTATACAGCCTCTGCCCCCCACTCACCCAACCCTTGTTATCATATAAATCACGTAATAGGGCCAGGGATAAACAGGAACTACGGTAGCTGTTAACCGTGTATAAAAACAAATCACATGGAAGCAGTGTAATTACTGAGAAAATACCAACTGGAGTAATGCAGTAATTGTTTTCTTTCCTCCAGCAGATTTATTCCAGCTCTCCCGGCTCTCGCTGGGCTCCAGGTCTGTGACTTCACGTTAATAAGGAGAATTTCACGTTTCACACTGCACTTGTTCAGGCCTGGCTATGGTACTGTCTGAAGCAGAGCAATATATTTTGGGCAGCTTCTTGAGAGTGCCAGCAAACAGAGCACGAGGTGAAATATCTTCATCCGTTAGAGTCCGTCCCAGGCTCTGGGTGGACTCCAGTCTTTACAAACCTCTCTTCAACCCATTTTTGTGATTTAGAAGAAGGGCTTCTTCGTGCCTTGCACAAACCCCTGAGCTCTGCTTTTTGCTCTTCATTGCTGCAGGGGAAGATTCTCTTTATACCTTCAGGTTTGGGTTTTCCTTCCTCTTGCTGTTTGTCATTTTGAGAGGTGCTTGTGAAACGACAGTGACTGGTTATTTGAGGTCCAGGGGCACTGCTTCTCTCTACTGCTATAATCATCCCTAATACCAGATGATGATGGCTTTTGTGCTGTGACTTACAGCTGTTTCCCTTACTCAGCTTTTGCTGCTGTTTCACTTCATGTTCTGCAAGGTAAGAAGATAAAGCACCAGAAACCGGGTTTCCAAAGGGCTTTGTGCCAAGCAGGGGTTTAAGGATGCCCTGTCTTGTATATTGGCAGATGTGAGATGCTGTCTTTTGTTTCATGTGCATAGAGATAAGTCTCTCTCCTGCATTTTTGGCAGGCAGCTTGCTTTTCTTTAGAAAAAGCCACTGCCACTTCCCCATTCCCATCTCTTAATCTGACCAGAATTTTGTGAACACCTGATTCATCTGCTCCTTGGGGTTCTCCAGAAACCTTTGAAATACTTCTAGTTTCTCTTCTGAACTGATGCTGGAAACAACCAGCTCAGCTTGCTGGTGCCTCAGTGCTCTTAGGGCTGCATGAGCCCCACACAGGACTTTGAGAAAAGGATTTCAAGTTGCTCCTTTGCTTTCTGTCCCTTGATGGCAGCAGTGGGAAGGGTGTCGATGCCTCCAGGCTGCGCCCAGCAGTGGTTCTTCCCTGCCTGGCTTGATGCCTCCTTCAGCTATAACAGGGTTGAGCAGGAAAAATGAGGAGCAATGGAAGATGCTGGTGTCCTGGGACATGGCTGCTTTGTTGGGAAACATCCTCTTTTGCTTCCCCTTGTTCTAGCTTTGCTGTGGACAATGTTGCCCATCCCTTAAGGAGGGGAACAGGGCAGAGCTCATCTCAGCACAGCCCCGCCAGCCATGTCTGTGGGACTGTGGGTGCAGCATCCCCAGGAGGGAGCTCATCATGCTTCATCCCCACCAGCAGCAGGGTGCAGGCCACCCTACATTATTCTGCTTCATGGTCAACGTATGCTATGGGGATGCTCAGCAGTGCCAAGATGGCATCTGCATGCTTGGTGTGAGCTACAACACAGCTGGCAAACAACCTAGGGCCATTATTCATGTGCATTGCTAGGCAGAGGAGCACAGAGGGGTCCCAGTGCCACCGAGCTCCATCCTGTCACCCTCATTCCCAGGAGGACCAGCCTGGGGAGAAGGCTGGTGGTAGCCCTGGCTAGTGGCTGTGTGTCAGCATGTGAGGGGAGGACTCTCAGCACCAGTTGGTGCAGAACAGCGTTGGCTTTGTCTGCTGAAATGAAGGTAGGGAAGTTGTGTGAACCTCACTTGTTGGCCTCCCCTTCCCTCCCCTCCCAGCAGCTGCAGCATTCTGGCCACCCACCCTGGCAGCAGTTTACGGTTACAAACCAAGCCACAGCTCCTCTTCCTGCCCCTCCAGGAAAGCAATCCATCCTCTCGCTAAGCACATGAATAGATAAACTTCTAATTAAGGTGCTGGGAAGCTGCCAGAGAGGAGAGTCCCGGGTCAGGGCAGGCTGTTGATGTGCTGTGATCCTTACCGGGTGGCTGTTAAGGAGCTGCTTCATCTCAGGTGTGTTCCTCAGTGCTGGGCATCCAGGCACGCAGCTTGTGTTTGCAGGAGGTGGGCTCCTTCCTTTGGAGCTGGGGAGGGGAAGGGCAGCGTGGTCCTGGGATGCTCCTGGGATAACTGGTTTGTTGGGCTCAGCAAAGTGGTTGCAGTGCTGGATGTGATGCTGAATGTTTTGATGCGTTTCCCCTCTGGCCTGTGCTCATGGTCATTAGAGCTGTTCCCTGTGATGGCCATGGAGGTTATGCTGATCTGTCTGTCCAGCCTCTGACTTGAAGAGTCTTGTTCGGTTCAGAGCCTCTTTACCTGGAATTTGTAAAAAGAACACTGATTGTGATCAATTCAGTCTGCTTTTATCTGAGCTGACCTCGTCTGTCCCCTTTCTCTTTGTTTTTGGATGGATGTGTTTGACATCCAGCATTCAGAGCTCCCCCAGTATTTAATGAGATGGAGGAGGACCTCCATGAAGGAGACGGGAGTCCGGCCCTTGTAGCCCCTTCTCGTTCAGGGCAGTCAATGCTGCTCTTCTCTCCAGGATGGCCGTGGCTGTGCCAGAGGAGGATGTGTCTGTTAGTACCTCATCTTTGTGGATAAGATGCAGCTTTGAGCTGGCTGCTGAGATGTGAAGGGACAGTGCTGCTGGCAGCTGCTGAATATGGATGGGTTTATTGATCCATAGGAATGCGGGTAGCACTGAAGGAGCCTCCGAGGCTTTGGCAGGAGGAAGACCTCCTGCCACGTCAATGGGAGACTAAGCTGGTGCTCTCTGGAGGTGCTGGAGGTTGTGGATCACTGCGGTGATGTGATCTGGCAGCTGGAACTGCTTCGTCTAGCAGGTTTTTTGAGGGGGGTGTGTGTCTCAGAGGGCTGGGAATGGGCCAGGGAGCTGTGGCAGCTGACGTGGGAGGATGAGAGAAGGATCCAAAGTCTCCTGGGAAAGAAAGTGCTGACCTGCTTGTTTTACGCTCCCCAGGATCGTGGCCTGCCTGGCAAACTGGAGCCCGTGTCGCCCGTGAGCCCTGCTCACCCTGATGCCGAGCTGGACCTGCTGCCCACACGGCTCTCCAAGGAGGAGCTCATCCAGAACATGGACCGCGTGGACCGCGAGATCACCATGGTGGAGCAGCAGATCTCCAAGCTGAAAAAGAAGCAGGTAAGAGGCTGTGGGCTGGAGGGGAACACACATCCTCATTTCTGCGTGCTGCCTTACACCCCTGGTCCTGGCCCAGCCATGGCCACAGAGGGGAAGTGGCAGTGCCATCAGGTTGCTCTGTGTCTGTGCTCCCTGTCGTGACATGGGCAGTTGCTGCTGTGCCAGCCGTCTGGAGCTGGTAGCTGCAAGACAAGGGAGCTTTGGAAACCCAGCTTGTAGGCTCTTTTGCATGTTGAAGTGCCTTAAAGGGAGGAAAATCTGTCCTTGGTGATTTGCCCACGGTCATGCAAGCAGTCAGTGGCAGAGCTGAAAGTGCAGCCTGGGTTGCCCCAGTTGTCTGTACAGCCCAGTGTTAGCACAAGGTCTTTTCTTTCTCCTTTCCAGCAATTGTCTCTCTCCAGTGCTGTTGCTGCCACTATTGTAGTACTGGGCTGCTGAAAACATTGTGGCAATGGCCTAATGGCCCTTCCTGCATCCAGTTCCCTTCTCCAGGGCTTTGCAGCTTTGTAGCCATGAGCAGCATCTGATCCAGCTCCAGTCAGGGCTGTGCCTGAGCCAGGGATTTGAGTCTGATCTTCTCAGTGGTGCTCTACCCCTGCACAGGAGCACTCCCCAGCAGAAGGCTCGCCTGCTCACTGTTGGCATGTGTACAATTACCATAAACCCATTAAGAGATTAATATAACAAAACCTTGGGGGACGTCTGTGAAAAACCCACAGACTTAAAGGCTTTCACTTCCTAAAGCATATCACTTCCTAAAGCATATCACTTCCTAAAGCATATCACTTCTCTCTGCCTCCGTGGTACTGGTTCTTCTGTTGCATTTGCTTGGACCCGGTTCCTAAAGTCCCTGATGGCTGCTATTCCCAAGCTGCCGGAATGACCTGTCCCCAGGGGTGTGCAGTGGGAATTTGGGAATGGAACAAAGCCTCTACTTGGGCTGTTGGATGGGGCAAGTGCTTCTTGAGGATGAGCGTTGTCGTGGTTTAAACCCAGTCAGGTAGCTTGTTCACTCACTCCCAGTGAGTGGTGCCGAGCTGACAACAATCGAGGTCCGTGTCCGTCTTCCCCCCCTGCCTCCCCGCACCGGGGCTCTCCCCTTCCCCGCTCCCGGAGGAACGGGGAGGAGGATCGAGAGAGTGCAACTCCTACGGGTTGAGACAAAAACAGTCCAGCAACAAATCACCACCGCTACTATCAGCTACAACAATGATAAGGGAAAATAACAAGGGAAGAGAATACGATACCACCGGCCAAGAGAAACGAGCTCCACCCGGAAACCCCTGTCCTTCCGGGTCACTCCCAGTTACCCCTCACCCCGGGCATGACGTGCTGTGGTATGGAATACCTCCCCGGCTAGCCCGGGTCAGGCGCCCCGTCTCTGCTTCCTCACAGCCTCCCCTCCTCCCTGGCAGAGCATGAGCCTCACAGAGTCCTTGGTCAGGGTAAACATCACTTAGCAACAACCGAGAACATCGGCTTCACCAACACTGTTCTCAAACTGGAAGTCAAAACACAGCACTGTACCAGTTAACACAAAGGAAAAACATGACTGCTACTGTGGAACCCAGGACATTATCCACCCCTTATTCCATACCATTCACGTCGTGCTCAGATCCCACATTTTTCAATACACCATCGCTCTCCCACATATATACATCCATATACATACAGACCAAGAGGAAAAATCATTTTCTTAGTGCATGGACCAATCCCTATAATGCTGCCGAGTCCATTCGGTCCATGATGTTCAAAGTTCATTCTCTGTTGGGATGATGGCTGGAGGGAAGTCAGGGCCAGTCGCTGGTGACCTGGAGACATCTAGTTGATGGGCTATAAAAGCATTACACAGCAGGCAACAGCATACAATTGAGTTCACTGGCTGTTTTCCCCTAAAATCAAATCCCCTTGAGGTATACATCGGACTTCCCCATCTTCCCGCATTACCCACCAAGTATATCCAGGTCCCTGAGCAAAAGCAATCCCACGAGTGGGTTTGCCTTTACCTGAAGCAGGAATTACCCAGACTGTCTTTCCCAGCAAATTCTTCATATGCACCACGGGAACTTTGTCCCCCTCTACAATATGTAACAGTTCTGACTGGGCTGGGCCAGCCCTGTTGGCAGATCCTCTGGTGTTGACCAACCAGGTGGCCTTTGGTAAGTGTGTATCCCAATGCTTGAAAGTTCCCCCACCCATCGCTCTCAGTGTAGTTTTTAACAGCCCATTGTACCGTTCGATTTTCCCAGAGGCTGGTGCATGGTAGGGGATGTGATATACCCACTCAATGCCATGCTCTTTGGCCCAAATATCTATAAGGTTATTCCGGAAATGAGTCCCATTGTCTGACTCAATTCTCTCTGGGGTGCCGTGTCGCCACAAAATCTGTTTCTCAAGGCCCAGGATGGTGTTCCGGGCAGTGGCATGGGGCACGGCGTATGTTTCCAGCCACCCGGTGGTTGCTTCCACCATGGTAAGCACATGGCGCTTGCCTTGGCGGGTTGGTGGCAGTGTGATATAGTCAATCTGCCAGGCCTCCCCATATTTATACTTCAACCATCGTCCTCCATACCAAAGAGGCTTTAACCGCTTGGCTTGTTTAATTGCAGCACATGTTTCACACTCATGAATAACCTGGGCAATAGTGTCCATTGTTAAGTCCACCCCTCGGTCACGGGCCCATCTATATGTTGCATCTCTGCCCTGATGGCCTGAAGTGTCATGGGCCCACCGGGCCAAAAATAATTCACCTTTATGTTGCCAATCTAAGTCCATCTGAGCCACTTCAATCTTAGCCGCTTTATCCACTTGTTGGTTGTTCTGGTGTTCCTCAGTGGCCCGACTCTTGGGTACATGGGCATCTACATGACGTACCTTCACCACCAGGTTCTGCACCCTGGCAGCAATATCTTTCCACAGTGCAGCAGCCCAGATGGGTTTACCTCTGCGTTGCCAGTTGCTCTGCTTCCACTGCTTCAACCACCCCCACAGGGCATTTGCCACCATCCATGAGTCAGTATAGAGATAAAGTACTGGCCACTTTTCTCGTTCAGCAATGTCCAGGGCCAGCTGGATGGCTTTCACCTCGGCAAACTGACTCGATTCACCCTCTCCGTCAGCAGTTTCTGCAACTTGTCGTCCAGGACTCCATACAGCTGCCTTCCATCTCCGATGCTTTCCCACAATACGGCAAGAGCCATCAGTAAACAAGGCATACTGCTTTTCACTTTCTGACAGTTTATTATATGGTGGGGCCTCTTCAGCGCGCATCACCTCCTCCTCTGGTGACATTCCGAAATCTTTGCCCTCTGGCCAGTCCATGATGACTTCTAGAATGCCTGGACGACTGGGATTTCCTATTCGAGTTCGTTGTGTAATTAGTGCAGCCCATTTACTCCATGTAGCATCGGTTGCATGATGTGTAGAGGAGACCCTGCCTTTGAACATCCAGCCCAGCACGGGCAGCCGGGGTGCCAGAAGGAGCTGTGCTTCAGTGCCAATCACTTCCGAAGCAGCTCGAACCCCTTCATAGGCTGCCAGTATTTCTTTCTCAGTTGGGGTATAGCTGGCCTCAGATCCTTTATATCCCCGACTCCAAAAGCCGAGGGGTCGACCTCGAGTCTCCCCTGGAGCTTTCTGCCAGAGGCTCCAGGTAGGACCGTTCTCCCCAGCTGCAGTGTACAGTACATTTTTTACATCTGGTCCGGTCCGGACTGGTCCAAGGGCTACTGCATGAACTATCTCGCGTTTAATTTGCTCAAAGGCTTGTTGCTGCTCAGGGCCCCATTTAAAATCATTCTTCTTCCGGGTCACATGATAGAGAGGGCTTACAATCGAACTGTAATTTGGGATGTGCATTCTCCAGAACCCCACTGCACCCAAGAAAGCTTGCGTTTCTTTCTTATTAGTTGGCGGAGACATTGCTGTTATCTTGTTGATCACATCTGTGGGGATCTGTCTACGTCCATCTTGCCATTTTATTCCCAAAAATTGAATCTCCTGTGCAGGTCCCTTGACCTTACTCCGTTTTATGGCAAAACCGGCTTTCAGCAGGATTTGGATTATTTTCCTCCCTTTCTCAAAGACTTCTTCCGCTGTATCGCCCCACACAATAATGTCATCAATGTATTGCAGGTGTTCTGGAGCTTGCCCCTGTTCCAGTGCAGTCTGGATCAGTCCATGGCAGATGGTAGGGCTGTGTTTCCACCCCTGGGGCAGTCGGTTCCAAGTGAACTGGACACCCCTCCAAGTAAAAGCAAACTGTGGCCTGCACTCTGCTGCCAAAGGGATTGAGAAAAATGCATTGGCAATATCAATCGTGGCATACCACTTGGCTGCCTTTGACTCTAGTTCATACTGAAGTTCTAGCATGTCCGGTACGGCAGCACTCAATGGTGGTGTGACTTCATTCAGGCCACGATAGTCTACTGTTAGTCTCCATTCTCCATTAGACTTTCGCACTGGCCATATGGGGCTATTGAAGGGTGAGCGGGTCCTGCTGATCACCCCCTGACTCTCCAGTCTACGGATCAGCTGATGGATGGGAATCAGGGAGTCTCGGTTGGTGCGATATTGCCGCCGGTGCACTGTTGTGGTCGCAATTGGCACTTGTTGTTCTTCAACTTTCAGCAACCCCACAGCAGAGGGATCTTCTGAGAGACCAGGCAAGGTGGACAGCTGCTCAATTTCCTCAGTCTCCAAAGCAGCAATACCAAAAGCCCACCGGTACCCTTTTGGGTCTTTGAAGTACCCTCTCTTGAGGTAGTCTATGCCGAGAATGCATGGAGCCTCTGGACCAGTCACAATAGGGTGCTTTTGCCATTCCCTCCCAGTCAGGCTGATTTCAGCCTCCAGCACAGTCAACTCTTGGGATCCTCCTGTTACTCCAGAAATATAGATGGGTTCCACCCCTTGACAGCTTGATGGCATCAGGGTACACTGTGCACCGGTATCTACTAGAGCCTTATACTTCTGTGGGACTGATGTGCCAGGCCATCTGA